ATAATATAGCAATTGAAATTGTTAGGAATATCATGAGGAACAAGGACATATTGGTCAAAACAAACTGCTCTTCATTTCACAAAAATATTAATTCCAATCAAAACAAGTTTATTCAAAATTGTATCCAACAATGTGAAATTTGTTTACGCTAAGAAACCTAGAAGGAAGTTGGGATTACTTCATCAACTTGGCCCGGCAGTAGAACCATTTAGTTTTATTCATATCGATACTATTGGTGGTTTTAGAGAGAGTAGCATTCTCTCAGTTAAGATATTTCCATGTAGCAATCCATTTTCAGATACGTTTGGGGCATAACATCAAAACCCAAAACGTAAATGATTTCCGACAACTATATGATAAAATTTCTCAAGATGGACATCCACATTATATTGTTTGCGATCGAGTATCCTGCGTTGAATTCCTCTAGCTTTAGGGAATTTTATTAGCAAATCATACTCAAATTATTTACATCCCTGTTACACATCCATCAAGTAATGGTATGATTGAAAGATTTGTTCAAACTGTGGTTGAAAGATTGAGATGCAAAAGACTATCAATGCCAAACAGATCTTGGGCAAGACTTGTATGGAAACTTTAGTTGAATATATCCAACCATTCATACCGTGACTCGGTATGCTCCAAGAAGGAGAGGATCTGGATGAGGCAAGAAGCATTGGCATATGAACGATCATGTCAGGATCATAATCGTAAATAAAAGATATTACGATCGAAGAAGAATTAATGTGACAGTTTGAGCCAGGTGATTGGGTTTTGCTAAGATTGCAGATGAATCTGAATAGGAGAAAGTTAGATCCTAGATATGAAGGTCCATTTGAAATTATTACACAATGGATACTCTTCAGTAGTGTATGGAATATCAGTTGATAATCATGAAGTTATTGTTCACATTGAAAATCTTAAATCGGCAAATACAAATAATCGAGTGTTAGTTCCAGAAGAATCCGATGAAGAAGAGCAAACATACAGCATGAGCAATCAGAGTTAGAAGAGAATATGATAGTTAAGCGAAATTCTGATGTAGATTCAACACCTGTATCACAAATTTACTTCATCAACATCAACTTCAATTACTAACCAGATTAGTTCACGACGAAGTCAACGTAATCAAGTCATCGACAAATCAGATATTCGCCATCATAAAATCTACCATTGTATGAATAAAACTACGTCCCAAAACAATAAACTGAAAATTACATCATAAACAACATATAGTGAATATTAAACATAAATTTTCATCAATCAAAATCATCTATAGTGAACATCGTAACCGAATATGCATCATAAACACATCAAAATATTCTGCTGCATCAATGTAATCAGCATTATATTATCCCCCGTCCTCATAAAGTCACAGTTGAATTCACCAGTATTCCCGTTAATTTGGAGAAGGTCAAAACATCGAGTTGCTACTGACTATGTAAATGCACAAACATCCACCTCAAACCACCATGTGAGGTGATTAAATCGTCGTTGCTGAATCCAAATAACATCACCAGCGTGGTTTCAACTATAAATTTGAAAAGGATACGTGTGAAAAGTTATATAACAAGTTGGTCAAAGAAACGATGTATAAAAGGCAAAGTTCTTTTCAAAGCTCAACTAAATCTCGACGTGATATTGTGTCACTTTGTGTCCGGTGTAGTGTTTACATCGATCATCGTCATAGCAGCTGTAATGTTTGGCCTATACATCAAAAGTCAGAATGGGAAATCCTGATCGTCATTGACAGAGATGGATTCACAATAGAAAAATAGAACCTTGAATGATTGTATTATGTAAATACGATGTTGGAAAACTTTTTTACCGAATTTCTCTTCCATCATAATCATCATCATCATCATCATCATGTTGGCAACAACAACAACAGCAATAAAAGTTTATATATTCTCTACATCCACATCCATGTGTCATAAGAATATTGAATAATGTATATTTTACACTTAATAAAATCATGAAATTAATTGACAAAAATTGCTTCCAATACACCTACAGAAATAAAGAAAATTTTCATATATATACTAATATATAAACATATAAAACGGATATCCGTGCAAGGGCCAACCAATCAATATTTTATCAACTAATTTCTTTAACGGTATAACGTCAAGAATGAAACTTTTTTTTAACATGAAACAAGATAATTTCTTTTACACCAAAGCAAAAAAAAAACGAAACTCGTTTGTTATATGTAGAAAGGGATTTTCACTCTCTTTTTGTGGCATCAATTTTTGATGTCATAGTTTGAAGCTGGAAAGTGTTTGTGTGTTCACAGCAGCAATATTCTCATTATAAATTCTTGTTTGTCAGCATAAAAAAATATAGGTCTTCGTTATGTGAATGTGTGTGTGTGTGTGTGTGTGTGACTCTTAACGACGATCTTAATTCAGATTAATGTTATGGGCAGTTTTATTTTTTATTTTCAATTTCTTCTTTTTTTTCGTTGATTGAATAATGTATGGCTAAAATAGAAGTGGAAAAAAAACACTATCCATAACTGCAGTTTGTTTATTTTTTATTATTAGATGAATTGCAAAAAAAATTCGGAAATTGAATATTCATATGTAGTAAGGAAAAAAAGTTCAAAACAAAATTCCAATGAATATAAATAATTTCTTTATATGAAAATTGAATACATAATTCAAATGGCCACATATGTCCAACACTAAAAATAAACCACCATCTGAGGTCCAGTGATTTGAATGATTTTTTTTTCGTTGAAAGTTTTCAAGTTTTTCTTGTGTTGTTGTTACGACACTAACAACTTGTTGAATTTCAATGTTCAAATGGATTAGATAAGACTGTGGTAACCGGTATTAATAATAATAATCAACTGATGATGATTGTTTACCGAACGAATTATTAATATTGGAAATTGAAATGAATATTGAACAATCTTGTTCATCATATATGACGTCAATATGAATTCTTGTGAATAATAATAATGATGATGATGATGATCATAAGAATCATTCACAAGAATTTAAATCTTCCATTGAAAACAATGCAATTTGATCGGTTTGATTTTTGTTTTGTTTTATTCTGAAGAGGTCTTTATTCATGAGAATGTACTCGAGAATTTATTATTACAGGCTATTAGATTTATTTTGAGATCTTTTTTCATCACCATCATCAAATAAGCTTATAATACACACACACACACACATACACATGAAAAATTTATAATGATCAGGATCATTGATCTTTTTTGGTCGTTTTCGTCACAAGATTTTTCACAACACAAAATTGAATGGTCATTCATCGATTAGAGCAACAATAATGATAATGATAATGATTTATGATGAAAAATAAAACGACAATAACAATTAGTTACACAAAATTGAATCCTTATTGTTGTTGTATTGAAAAAATATCGATGATACTTTTTTTTTTTTTTGCTTTTTGCATCATGCATCATTATTCTCCATTAAATAATAAGAGAGGTCAATAGCCAGGAATGAAATTTCAATAGAAAATCATTACATTGGCAAGAAGAAAAAAAAAATTTGAAGATTTTTCGTATTCTTCGTATATAATATTGATCAGGAAAAAAATACCCTGGTGTATGATTTTTGTTAACTAACTAACCAGAGCACAAAGAATATTCGATGAAACGCAATGAATACGTATCAACGCATTGGGTACCTCAACCAAATCATTTAAATGAGAGAAAAAAAGTCAAAAAGTTGAATTCTGATTTCGATTTCAATCACTGTAAAAGAAAAAAGAGAAAAAACCCGTACAAATTCATTCATCAATCATCATTGATTTTTATTGATTGCAATTTGCAAAGAAAAAAAACGTCTTATAATAAATTTTTCTTAGAAAATTTTCAAAATGCATATACCACTAAAGAAATTGACTGGTCATATATATTATGATTATTAATTCATTCATTCATTTATTATTCATGCATAAATAACAAATGTTTCTACAAACATACAAAAAAAAAATCACACACACACAATCAAACAAACTACAAACTTTATCATTTATTTATTTATTGCAACATTTCATCATCATCATCATCATTTCTTTTTTTTTCTTTTTCATAATGGTCTTAGTCATCATCATCATCAATGTTTAGGTATTATACAATGGTCCAATGAGCCTTTGTTGTTGTTGTTGTTGTTGTGATTGTTGTATGTATATAAATTGATTGATTTTCAATGTGTTATATATATGTAAAAACGCCACATGGGTTCCAACAATAAGAGAAAAAAAATGGAATCGCACCAAAGAATGATGATGATGAATTCTAAATATTAAAAGAGAACTGTGAATGAACTTTTCAATGAATATTCTATTGAGATTGAATTATACAATAATAATAGGAAAAAAATTGCCTGACTACATCCATTAAAAATTCTGTTTGCATATTCTATTCTGAAAGAAAATTTTTTTTTTTCATTCGATGTGCATTTACGAATACATAATTTACATGCCGAGAGACAGAATAACCACAAAAACGACAACAACAACAACAACAACAACAACAACAAAATTCAAATCATATTCAAGTTGCAATTCCGTTTTGCAAGAATATTTTTTTGCATGTGATGAATGTATGTAATGTATTTGTCGAATAAAATAGAAATTATTATTATTATTATTACTTAACGGAAAACAATTCTACTCAACATAAGAGCAATCGAAATTCATTCAAACAAAATGAATTTCCTATTGATGAATGAAATCAAAAATAATTTTATGATGTAGTGATGAAATATACTCAATATTGTGGAATCATTTGAATTGAACGAAAGAATAATAAAATTTTTAAAGTTGAAAACATCACCATTTATTTTATTTACATCCTGGACATTGTCTGTTACATTGTCACGGACCATTCAAATCCGTTACTCGTGGACAAACATTACAAAAATTAATCAATTTTATTTTGAAAATTAAAATTTATATAAATCAATTACAATTTAAAATATAATTTATTTGAATAAAAATTGCAATCATTTGTATTTTTTTTAATTATTAAATATCTGCATTTTCGATATGACATGATTATAATTCATAAAAATAATGATAATGTATGGATATATGCAAATTGATTTTTTTTGGGAAGGTACTGAAAATGATTATGTGGTGATAAAATGAAAGAAAAAAATGTGAATCAAACACAAAATTCTTCAATAAATCGATTGTAATTATCGTGTAGGTAGATGATCATACAGTCGTTGTTGTTGTTGCTGTTGTCGAATTCAATGATGATGAACCATTATTATTACTATTTCCAATAATAGATGAATCATTCAAATGATGATGATGATTCGATGGATCAACTATTGTTCTGGTTGTTGTTGTAGTTATAATTTCATTTTTCTTTATTTTCATTGAATTAGCATTTGTTGCAACCACTAATAAATTATTTGTTTTAATTTTTTGTTTTGTCACATTGTCAACATTAGTATTGTTATTATTATTATTAGTATCGATATTATCACGAATTTTAATCGTATCATTGTTATTATTGGATGATGGATGATTCAATATTTTGATATTATCATTTGTCGAATCATCATTATCCGATAATGCGCTTTTTGAGCTATTGTTCGCTGTCATTGTTATTGATTGAATGTTTGTATTTGAATTTTTCATAACAGTTGTCATTGAAATTGATTCATTTTGATCGGATTGTTTTTGTTGTTGTTGTTGTTGTGCTTGTAATGATGTACGATGTTGTCGATTTGTTTGTATTCGATTTGATTGTGATGGTTGATGGATCAACATTGTCGATGGTGATCCAATACATGAATTTCGTGTGTGATTATGATGATGATGTCCAACACCATTCTCTGATTCAACAGTCCATCGTATACAGAATAGCTGTGAGAATGTTTTCCGGAATTGTTGTGACATTAAACAATAAAGCACAAAATTTACGGCCGAATTAATCAATGCTAACATATCCATCAAATCACCAAAATTGCCGTAAACATTTTTGAAAAAAGATTTTCCAAGAATACCACTTAATAGTGCTAAAATACCGGAAGGAAATTCACATACTAAAAACATTATCAATACGGCAATTAACATTCGTGTTGTACGTTCAGAATTTCCTGACGATGATGATGTTGCATGTAATGATGGTGGATGTGGTGTAGGTATTTGTTGCTGTTGTTGTGTATTTGTATTACAAGAAGAATTATTTTGAGCTGATGTTCGAAATTTGAGCTTAATATCTGCTTGTTGTGATTGATTTGGTGTGATCGATACATATGATGATGATGATGATGATGAAGATGATGTGGATGGTGATGAGGATGATGATGATAAAGATGATGACGTTGTTGTTGTTGTTGTTGATGATGATGATGTATATTTCCGTATCATTGATGATGTACAATCACGACAAATTCGACATAATTTCCAGAATCCATTCACATCTATTTCTTGCTGCTGTTGTTGTTGTTGTTGTTGTTGACGATGATGACGATTACGGTGATGATGATGATGATGATGATGATGATTTTTATGATTAGCAATCGAACGATTTATTCTTGAACAATTTGACAAATTAGAATTGTTTTGTTTCTTTTGTTGACAATTTGTTGTTGATGATTTAGACAAATCATTATCATCATTATTATCGTTGATTTTTAAATCACAATTTAAATTTTTTTCCTTTTCACTATCAGATTGATATATTTTTGTTTTATCATTATCATTGTTGATTTGATTTGATTGTTTCAATTCAACTGTAGCTGATGTTGATGAACGAATATTATTATTTGAAATGTTGATTGATACTTTTGGATTGCTATTATCATTATTACTGTTTTATTATTATTATTTATTATTATTACTATTGTTCATTGATGTGATGGCAAAATTTCCTTTCAATAGACGTTCTTTACGTTTTCTTGCTTCAATCAATATTCTTATCAATGCCAATGTAATACATGTTAGTAGACCACATGGGATTAATTTCATGAATACGGAAAATACCCAAAATGTTATCTTTTCCAATAGTTCATGATTTTTACCTTCCAATTTTACTATATCAACCTATACAAAAAAAAAATAACAATGATAAAAGAAAATTAATAATTGAACACAATAGTCATTTGTAATTGAATTGAATTATTGAATTTGCATTCGTGTAAGGTAGCTTGAGGTAAAAAAAAATTCAAGCTTATTAAATTCAGCTATATATTAGCTTCTTTCATGTGTTTTCATGGAAAAAAATTGTTTCTTTTTTCTACAAAATTTTTTTCAGTTCCTGGAAAAAAACACGTACAATAATAGTGGAAAACATTCCGATATAACTGGAATCTGAAATGATTTCTTCAGAATCCAAATTCCCTTTTGGATGGAATTTGGATTCTGGAACCAAAAACAGATTTCGTTTCAAGATAATGATTAAAGAATGATGACAATAATTTCATGAAAACAACAAATTATTGGATTATAGTAACTGGTTGAGAAAAAAAACAACAACAACAATTGAAAAAACACAGGGCAATTTGCTGATTATCTGCCTTGTTGGGCCGTGGCCTGTGCATTAATTTAATATATTGAAATTTTTATGATTTATTAGAGTTGTCAATTATTTGATAAAAATAATAATGAAATTGTCTGAATCTTGTTTTTATTGGTGTGTATACAATAATGATGAAATATTAATAGAAGAGTGACAAAGAATGAAATGATCATTGAATTGATAATTTATGTCAATAGTAATGTCGTGTTCGATGTTCCAATTGCCCATGATGGATTATCTGCAAAATTAATTTAATAAACAAGAAAAAAACCTGCAGAAACAAAACAAAGGTAAATTTATTTATGCAAAATAAGAATAATGTTTTTTTTTGGTCATATTCAACGTAGAAGAAAAAATTAATGCCTTTTGTGTGTGTGTGCATGGCTTTGAATTTCCATTTTCTATTTTATCATCATCATCATCATCATCATTATTGCTATTTTTTTATGGATGTCTGTTATTTTGTTGTTGTTGTTGTTTTTTTGCCTGTATTTTTACGGTGTTTTGATCCATCTGTTTATAATGGTAAAAAGGAGTAGAGCAAAAATCTAAAAACAATGGCTTGAATAATCTTTGTGAAAAACAAAAGCAAAAATGAATGAATGAAAAAAAAACAACAACAACAACAACATCAACCTAGCATCACTATAATATTCTTATGAACATTAAAGTAAGATGGATGAATAAATGAATGAATGGATGAATGCATAGTCGAATTTTGTATTTTTTTTCTCATCTTCTCATTGTTGTTCAACATTCAAAAACATTAATAAAAATTTGCTTGAATGCTTTTTGTATTATATATATATATAGATGATAAATTCTTTATCTTATTCATCTATCGGTGAAATGAAAGAATGATGAAAAAAAATACACAAACAAACTAAAAGAGTAAATATATTATTGAAAAAGTAAAGAATAAAACAAAAGAATTTTCTATTGAATAAATAAATACAATGGAAAACAACACACACACACACACACACAGGATAATCAAGATCTATGTAGATAAAAGGTATAGAAAAACGATATGATGGAATATTCCGGAAATATTACAAATGTATGGATCATAATATAATAATATAATAATGATGATGATGTTATTTATGAAGCTAATATAATGATGATTGTTATCATCAGTACATATTTATTTTGTACACATTATAATCATTGATTCCGGTTTTTTTTAATGCCTTTTGTTTTGCCATTTATTCAGATTTAATGGAAAAAAAAAAATACAATGATTGATTAATGCAACCTAAACCCACCACCACCACCACCACCATCATAATCATCATCATTGATATTGATCGAATAATAATTGATCCAATCTATTGAATCGATTATTATCATTATTTGATTTCCAATTACAATGAATTCAGAAAATGACGACTAAACAAAGAAAAGGAAAAAGTTTCCGCCTTTATTCACACATCATTGGATTGGATAAATGAATGAATGAATACATTTGTCGTCGTTGTCTTTGTCATTTTTAGGCGTGAAAATATAAGTTTACACGGCAAATAAAAAAAGAAAAATACGGGCATTTCAATCTGATGACAATATGACAGATACACACACACACACACACACAATACTCGATTTATAAATAAAAAAAAAGAAAGAAAAAGATTATGTGTTTCTTGTTTATAGAATTTTCTTTGTTTTTTTTTTTTTTTACGTTGTGATCAAACGATAATGGCAAAATAATGATGGGAGAGAGAGAGAGAGAGAAACAAAACTCGTGATAATTTTTTTTCCATTTCATTGAAGTAAATATAGTTTTGTTTTGTTTTTTTTCTCGGTATCGTTTCGGTTGTCGTTTTTATTCTGTCATTAAGTTGTGTTTTTTATATATTTTTTTCATTTTGTTCGTTTCATTGTTGTTGTTGTTGTTGTTGTATGTAACAAGGGATAAAAATTATGCATATCCAACATGTTAAACACAATCAATGAGCAACATGGCAGAATAAAGAGAAAGAGAGAGATAGAAAAACGTCAAAAACAAGAGAATTTATCCATGGTAATTTCAGTTTTTTATTCTCATCATCATCATCATCATCATCAGCACACACACACACACATATGGTGTTCGTGTGTATACTGTATGTTTGTTTGTTTGTACTGATCTTCAAGAAACTGTGTCGGTACAACAACAACAACAAAAAATTCTAAAACGAAAATTCATACAATGGATAATTTATGATTGATTGTGATAAACATTTCGTCGTCGACATCTATGCAAACAACAACAACAACAACAACAACAATAACGACGACGACGACGACTACGACAACAAACATTCTCGTGACACACACACACACACACACACACACATGATTGTTGTTGTTGTTTGGGTAAATAAAATTAACAAAAATAAAAGTCTAACAAAAGAGTGTGTGAGAAAAATAAGTCTAATCAAAATGTATAAAAAAAAATAGAAAGAATGTAAAAAAAAGATTGAATTATTATCCACAGACAAGAATATTCTGGTTTTTTTTCTTTTTCTTTTTTGTTTCACAAAAAAATGTGTGGAATTTACACCGCCAGACAATGATAGTAAAACAAGCAACAAAAACATTCGGAGAATATTCGGAATGACTATGAAATAAATTTAAATTTTTTTTTTTGGCCATTTGTTTTTTCGATCCTCTATGAAATAAATTTAAATTTTTTTACTAATCGTATTGACATATAATGATAATGGCCATTTTTTGTTATTTTTGCCTAAAACATTAATCGATCCTCTCATCATCATCATCATCATCAACATTGATTTCAGTGCAAACACATGGTATCCATTTTAGAAATTCGAAAAAGAAAATCTAAATCGGAAAAATCATTTCCACACATGTCCATAAAGAGGATGAACAAATTCCTGGAAATCAATTTCAGAATACTAATGCTTGAACGTACATAAACAAAGAGAATACTAATCGTATTGACATATAATGATAATGACAGATACTGGAAAAAAAACACCAAAGATAATTCAATTGAACGAGAGACAAAAAAGAAAAGAAAAGAAAAGAATTCTTCAAGGAATGTCTGACCACTTGAAATGTTTTTTTGTTATTCACTTTCAAGACATTTGCCTAAAAACATTAATCGATTCTCTTTTTTTGTTCATTCTTAAACTAATTTTTTTTTGTTCTATTTCAAGGTTAAATGTTGAATTTGATTTTTAAATTTCTGTGGATAGCCAACAAATGGAACGTATTTGTATTTTGTGAACCATAAACGAATGCATCACTTGTAAATCATAATATTTAAACTTTGATAGATGTGAGAAGGAAAAAAAACTTTTTTTCTCCTCTTTATTATTGGTGATGATCATTTACATTGGAATTACATGGAATCATGTTTTTTTTGCACTGTTAGCAAAATCTCATAAACAAACAGTAATTTTCTATTCGGCAATAACATTGAAGTTTTTTTTTTCGTTCACTTTCATTATATCGAAAATCGATAAATGAAAAGTTTTCCAACATCACTTCAGATGAACTACAAACTTTGAAATTTTGAAAATATATGAAAAAAACTCACGGAGACTTTATTTAGGTTGTAGTTAAAGATCTGAAGATAAAAAATTTTATGAATTTCAATCAATTTTAAAGCTTATCAGGAGCAAAAAAAATAGTCTATAAACATTTTGTTCGATCGATGACAAAAGAATTTGTCCTAGCCTTTTTTAAATGAGTATTTTTGTATGTTTTTTTTTCGAAAAAATTTCTTTCATTATCACGAGCATTCTTCCGAAAACAAATTATAATTGAAATGGCTAATTCTACAAATTATATGATGGCAGTGGACAATTGATATAGATCATAAGATAATCAACGACAATGACAACAATTCAGTTGAATTGGAATAAAAATTCCAATGAAATTGAAAAAAAAACAAATGATTCGGCTAATAATTTTAGAATTCCAGTGAAATAAATTTTTTTTTCAGCCGAAAAATAAAAACAGAATCAATGGTTGTGAATCATTCAATATTAATTTAGTTATTCTCATCGATACAACACACACAAACACCATCAGGCAATTGATATTCATAGCAAATGCCAAATATTGCTGAAAGGCAATTGTATTATGATGTTTTTATGGTCGTTATGCCCTGATGAATTGTATCAGTTTACATCCCAGATAAATTTACATCAATCGAAAACAATTGATGTTCATTCAGAGTAAGAAAAAAACTACAATAGGCATTTTATTATTAAATTAAAATCAATTTTGTAACAAAAACCCACATGAATTGGAATGAATAATTCAATAAAATTGGTTTTCATAGAAAAATTGTCGTACGAATGGCCTATATTTTATTCCTGTTTAATTCGCTGATTATCATAGTGTGCTGAATAAATCTGAACATTTGAAAATGATGCCAAAATAGCAAAAAAAAAACCACACGGTCAATGTTTTTTTTTTTGATTTTTTTTTGGTTCACCAACACATCATCACGATACAATACCCATTGTTTTTGATTATTAATTTTTTTTCATTCTTTTTAAAAAAAAAAATTGTTCTGTGCCATACTAATACTGCATATGAGTTCATTCATGTATGTTATGGGTTCTCATATTATATCGCTGACAACAACAACAAACAACAACAACAACAACAAAACAAACCCTATCTATGTAATGCTATTATTAATCATTTTGAACAAAAAAAAAAAAAAAAAAAAAATTTCTCTTTGTAACTTGCATATTTACTATGTTCGTGTTGCATATAGACACATTGTATACAAAATAGACAATGTAATAATTCGGGCAACAACAACAACAACAAAAAAAATGACAAAATAAAACAAAAAAAAAAAATTCTCATCATCAGTAGTAGCAACAGAGTAGAAATATTGTCTAGGTCCAAGTGATTAATAATAATAATGATGATGACGGTATGGAGTTGAAAGTTTTTTATTTTTTCTATTTTTTTTTATTTCATTTTTTTCATTATTTTCCGGCGTTATTCTCCAGTTTTTTCCACTGTGTCAAACAAAATCATTGAAATGTTATACGAGAAGAAAAAATAATACAACACATAAACGAAAGTAACAAAAAAAAAAAAAAACAGACTTGAACCCCATATAAAAATGAAAATAAAAACCCTAACAAATCAGTGAGATTCAGGCTATTTTTTTTTTGGATTTCAGGGGCTTTTTTTCGAATGAAAAAAAAGGATAAGGAAATCAATCTAAAGGTTTGTGTGTGTGTGTGTGTGTGTGTGTGTGAAGAGATGTGGTGAAAAAAAAGTAAATATTTGTTATTTTTTTTCGCTTATCAAATCTCTTGAATAACAATAACAATAAAAATGAATTGGAAATATTTGCTAGAATTTTTTTTTTTTTGAATTCAAATAAATTGACGGTATAGATAGATTTCATTTGTCAGCTATTTAAATTTTTTGATGTAGATTTGTACCATTGTATTGACAATGAGAATGATACTAAAAAGTGTCAATGGTGACAATACAATGGTGTGCTGTTATGGCCATGATTGCATATATCGAATGTATTTTTTTTTGTTTTGTTTTGCTCGATGTTCAGTTTATGATTAGCTGAAGACAACTGAGTACTGAACCATGATTGTTTGTAATCTATGAATACAAACAACCACTCATCATCCAGAAACAAACAAAACGAATATGTTAAATTATTCTCTATTCTTGAATGTATATCAAATGAAAAAAAGCTTTGAATTATCTCGACCAAAACACAAACACGCCAAACACATGAAAACATTTGGGAAAAAAAACAAACATGATTGAGAAACATGTCAAGGAAAAAAAAAGCAATAATCGAAAAACATTGTATGTTATGGCTAATATATACATACAAATTCACATATTTATGTTCAAACATTGAAGATTTACCAAAAACAAACAGACAATCAAATTGGGAATTAATTCTCACTTACCGTATAGATTGAAATATTTTTCTGTGGATTCATTGCTGGTATTGGATGTATGGTGAATGTAATGAATACTGGTATACAGAATACGGGTACAATTAAATAAACCAATAATATGTATAGACGTGCACGGCCAATTGTTAACATTGATCGTGTACGTAATGGTGTCCTGTGGATAAAATTGAGAAAAAAGAAAATATAAATATAAAGAAAATGATGATTAGATTTTCCAGATAAATACATTATAATCATCATCATCATTTGCAATTGAATTTATGAAGAATATTTCAATCAAACTTCTGGTATTGGTATATCTTGAATTGTAAACGTAGGTAGATGATGATGATGAATAAGCTGGAATTTTTTTTTTTTTTTTTTTTGATTCTAACTAATTTTGACATCTGAAGAAGCATGAAGAATATGGTAGTCCCGTATATCTTGATTTGTTTATTTTTTGTTACTTTCCAATGTTGTGTGTCATGTCAAAATAAAATTATCGGTAACATTTCATTTTTTTCTATCTATCTATCTATCTATCTTTATTCTGGTAATGAAAAATTGTTGTTGTTACCCCTTACTGATTGTGATATTTGTTTTTTTTATAGACATACAAATTCATACCCACACACACACACACACACACATACATACAAAATAGGATAATTTCATCTCATCTCATAAGAAGAAGATATATTAATACTGACACATAGGCTATTATTATTATTATTATCATAATTCTATCACTAGCTTTTAATCTATATATGATGGCCATGTATTATTTTTCATGTCCTATCAAAAAAGATATGAACGATAAAGACCAAACAAGTGAAGAAGAAGGAGAAAAAAAATTATGACAGCTCTTATGTGTTCAATTATCTGGGCGGAAAAAAGAAAAGAAATGTGGAAAACAAAAATCCCATGAATTCTGTACTGTGATTCGTATGGTCGATTTACTCTTTTTTTCTTGTATTGAAAATACAAACATTGTTGATTAGTTGAATGGCTGAAGTGAATACAATATCAAACAGCAAAAAAAAGATGTGTCAAGCAGCAACTAACCAAAAAAAAACTAAACATGATTCTTAATAGACATTTATATCTTGAATATCTTGTATATGGAGGTGTGTGTGTGTGTGTGCGTGTGTGTGTGTGTCTACTTGTTTGTTCCACATCGATAATTCAATTCAATTTATTTTTTTTTTTTTTTTGGTATTTTACTTTGAATAGAATTTCAAATGCATTGAAATTTTTTTTTAACGGAAATAAATCAGAAAAAATACGAAATCATTGCATATGAAAATAAATGGATACACACAGTAGTTATTTTTATACAAAACTGAATTCATTATTTATCATAAATTATTAAAATAAACAAGAAATATGATATGATATCTACCTTACAGTGATGAAACGCCATACAGCCAATAATACAGTCAACCATATTGATATAGTATGAAATAAAACTGTATTATGTGCATGAAACAATGTAAATACTGCCCAACCATAATTATACATTTGTTCTTCGGGCACTTCAGTACGTATATAATTATGGATCACATATGGAAGGAATGATGCTATAACAAGTAGATCAGAAACGGCCATTCCTGTCAATATTGTATTTGTTGGTGATTCCATGTTTTTTCTGAATGGAAAAAAATAAATTTTTTTTTAAAAATTTTAAACAAACAAACAAACAAAAAAATTCAAACCTTGTCAATACAATTATATTGAGAACATTGGCAATGATGCCGAAAACACATACAACCAGGCTAAGATAACCATGTATGTTACGATATTCATAATTTAATCGATGAAATATTTCACCATAAAATGCATTTGGATCAAAATCATATATGAGTTTATTATTATTTTTATTCAATTCTGTAATCGTTGTCATATTTATCATTGTTGTTTGATTTAATGGTGCTAAAACATTTACAATATCACGATCGTCAATCATTTGATTTGGTTCATTAACCAAACTATGATATAATGATACGGTTATATTTGTCATTGTTGTTTGTAATAATCGTATCGTCATTTGTTCATTATTTGTATTCGAATCATTATTATTATTATTATTTTCATATTGTAATAATAAAATTATTGATGATTCATTTGTCATAATTTTATTTGCTTCCAGTTTGCTTCCTTCAATGTTTGTTTTGGATCATCATCATCATTATTATTTTTTTTAAATCAGCAAATTTGAATGACACACACACACACACACACACACACACACAATATATGTGTGTGTGTAATTCCAATCATATCATTGATTCGGCAGTCTGCTATGATTCTGTTTTTCAGAAGAAAAAATAAAAATCAGATTTCGTAACAAATTTTTTTGTTATGGGCAAAAAAAAAATTTCCTATCAATTCGTTCAATATGTCAATGTCAATGGTTAATGGAACGTGAGAGAAAACAAAACAAAAAATTTCATCATCATCATCATCATCATCATATTTTGTTAAGTGAGCCTTTTATAACCGAATCAAAAAGCAATTCTTATCGATGTCAGTAAAAAACAGTCAAAAATGAAAAACTGAACAAATTTTTTTCTCTCTTGCGTTTTTGTTGTTACAATTTTTCAACACCCCTTCATTGAAACAATAACAACAACAACAACAACAACAACAACAGCTCCTCATGAAAAATGATCGAAAAAAAATTTGAAATTGTAGACGATTTTTAGACGTAAATTTTCATTTATAATGAAAAAAAACAATGTCAATTCACATTTTTTTTGTTTCTGATAGAACCATTCTTTTTTTCTACATATATGATCTGCAGAATAAATGAAAAAGAATGAATGAAAAAGATCATATCACATATATTTTTGTTTTTTGTTTCGATTAATGGACAGTAAAATTTTATCTGTTTCCGTTTGATATGAATGCATTGTTTCCGGAATTTCAGTGTGGGTGTTTATATATCAACATATTATAATAGTGAGAGAAAAAAAAGGGATGAAATGGCGAAATTGTGAAAATGGAAAACAAAAAAAAAAAAAGAAATTATTCTATTGTAAGCATCATCAGGGGAAAAAATCCAAAAAAAACCGGCAATCCATAAAAACAGAAAAAATTTATCCGTTAAATTGAATGAATAACTTCTTCATCCGCTATAATTTTGAATCATTTTGAATTCACACACACACACATTTGTGTTCATTATTACTAAAAAGTACTATTCATAATGGAAATGACTACATTTTAGTTCATTATCAAATCAACACACGAATATAATGTCTAAAGATTCTTCTACTTCTTGTTAATGATGATGGCCATTTTCCTTTATATTTTTCGTTTTTTTTTCGCTCATTTTTATTCCACAAATTTACAATGAAAATTATATTCTCTTGAATTGAAATGAAAGAAATTTTCGGTTTTTTTTTATTTCAAAGACATTTATAAGATTTGCAAAATTTGAATTGTACAAATTTTTTGCCTTTCTAATTGAATCAATACCAATTTGATTTGGCATAAATGTCATTTAATGCAATGAGAATAATAATTACAGCTTCCGTTTTTTTTAATATATTTTTTCCATCATCACCCATCATCAAGAATAAAAAAAAAAATCAAAATTGAATTATATTGATTTATTTGATTGTGTTGTGGAACATCACACCACAAAAAAAATGGAAAGAATGAATGAAAGAATTCATTCTCATGGATATTTGAAATAATAATAATTGAAAATCAAAGAAAAGTTAGTAGTGTGAACAAAAAAAAATTATGATTTTGTCCAAATCGGCAATTTTTTTTCATGAATTATTATCATCATCATATTGTGTTGAAGCAAATTACTTTCTCATTTTTCATTTTATTTTCCTTTTTTTCTATCGGAAATTCTTTTTTTTTTTTTTTCGTTTCTGGTTCAATGATAATGATAGTTAGAACAGAAAAAAATGAGAAATAAATAATGGCCAAAATAATCCGATGATGAATGGTGAAACTTTTTTCTTTTTTTTTTTTTTTTTTTGCTACACACTTTATTATTCACTTTTTGCTTTTTTTCTCTTTTTATGGTCATTTGGATTCTTGAAAATGTTTCAAATTAAAAATATAGCCTAAAGACACGGTAAGTTTTTTCCAAAGAAAAAAATGACAAAAACATTTAAAAATCATTCATTTGATGAAAATTTTGGTGAATTAAAAATTTAACAAACGGAAATTAAAAACTCAACAACAACAACAAGTGTGTATCATGAATTTGTAAAACATTTGAATTACAGAGAATATTATTTGTTGTTATTGCCATGAAAAAAAACAATAGAATAATTAATGAAAACAATACATTTTAAATGAATGTCTTCTGATTACCACAAAATTATTATGTCAAATCATCAACAACCTACAACATAAATAAATACCTAGTATAAATTAATGAGATAACTGACGACAACAAAATTAATCAAGTGATGATTAAAATTTTGTGTTGAAATTATTATTATCATATTCTATATATAGTTATTATAAGCAAGCAATACATATTGTTTTATATGAACATCATCATCATCACAACAACAACAATTTAAAACAGGATTATGTGGTTGCTCAGTGATGATAATGATGGCCATGATGATGATGATGATGATCATGATCATCATTATCATTATTGCCATTAAATCATTTAGAATGATGATGCTGATCCACCATGGGTATTATGAATAGCTTGAACAACAATAAAAAACCATTAAGATCATGGAATTTTTATGCTTTTCTTACATACACAATCAACAATATTGGCGTCTAGCTATCATTATCATTAGACTTGAACATATACACTGTGCTATATAGATATATTCTTAAGCCATATGGATATAAAATGACCATATGAATTTCATTCTATAAACATCATTATTATTTGTCTGAATGTCCAGACAGCGTCGAAAAAAAAAATTTTTTTTTTTTTTTTGGCAGAAAAAAAAATTTAATTTGTGATAAACGAACAAATAGAATAAAAAAAATGGGTGAAAAAAACCATTCATCCGAATAGAATGAAAGAAATCAATTTGATTATCTTGTTGTTATTGTATATGGAATGTGTAATGTACAATGAAAAACAAAAAACAGAAAAAGCAATGGGCATTGTAAAAAAAACACACACACAATATTTTGTTCAAAATCTCTGGTATACGTTACAAGTCAGCCAAACATTTATATTCTCCATCCTAACATCCACAAAATGGAATTGGCGGTCCAAAAAAAAACTTAAACTGTTTTTTTTTTTTCTTGTCTACAATCTACAATTATATTACAGTGTCAAATACAAGTAACAAAATTCTTTTTCATTAATTTACTTGATCATTTAAGTTATATACAATGTTTCTCATGTGTTTTTTTTTTTTTCATCATTGTATCTGGTGACAACAAATAAAAAAAACATCAAATGCACACACACAGCAAAGATAATAATGCAAAATATAATTGTTGAAAATTAGATTACATTTTTTTTCTCTATAGAAATAACAATGAAAATGGCCATTTCATCATCATCATCATTATTATTATTGTTGACATTATCATCTGGTTTATAGTTTGCGATCATCATTATTATCAGATAATAATGATTAGCAATCAAATATGTAATTATTGGACATTATCGATGTGTTTGTGTTTGTGTTAGCAAATGGAGAAAAAAAAATACTCGGACAATTGTAACATTAATTATGACAATGTTCATGATGAAATTTTGTTGCATTAATATTTCAAATCAGATATTTATTCTTATGTAATTTTTTCCATTTCACATATTATATAGATTGAAAATAACAGAAAAATAATAAATCACAAACAAACAAACAAACAAAAAATGCAATGAGGTAAAGCCAACATTTTTGTTGTCATACAAATATCATTATGAGCTTTTGGCAACAAAAAAAACACACACACACACATATATTTTAATGGTGTTGGCAAAATACACAAGTCTATTTTTCAACTCAATTTAGTTGGTTGCAAAATGTTGACATGAAATAAAATAAAAAAAAAAAATAATTTTTCATCATATCCTTTTTCGGAAAACACTTATAAAATATGAACATAATTCTTTTATGACACGGAAATAATGCATTCAATTTTGCTTGTTGTTTTTATTTTTCGTTGATAATAAAAAAAAACAATAATAATAATGGCCCCTACGTGAAGGTGATGGTATATTTAAAACGGGTGTTTTAGAAAAAAAACCATTTACAAAAAAAAAACAGTCGAATAAACTGCTGCTAATGATTTAAATTGTGATTCCAACTTGAATGATTTTATCAATCAATATTTTTGTTTGGCAAAATTAATGATAAAATTCTAGTGTTTTTTTTTGTGTTTTACAACATATCGTAATTTTTTTTTCTAGATCATCATTCTACATTGTATATACATGTAGCAGTACCGAAATAAATGCTGATGATTTGAGTGAAAAAAAAATGATACTCTGGATCATTTTCCTCCCATTCATTTATTATTCGTTTTATTCATATATTTTATATATGTCACAAATATAATGATGACAAAGGTCTACTACAACTACTACTACTACTACTACTATATAGATTGTCAACAACCAAAATGGTCAAAATTCCTATGGGGCCATATTTTTTTTGGTTATTTCTTCTCGGAACAAAAAAATGGCCGATTGTGTTTGTTTGTTTGTTATGCATTGGCATGAATGATTTTTCATATTTTAACAATGGTTTTCATTTCATTTAAATGAATAAAATATAAATATTTTGTTTACACATTCAAACAAAAAAAAATGATGACGATAGATGCTAAACTTTCATTTCAAATGTATATTATCACAATGGAAAAAAATGGAAAAATAAAATAAATGGATTGGGTGGATGGATGAATTTACAGATTTATTTAAATGTTTGTGTGTGTGTGTGTGTGTGATATTATTGTTGGACAAAAGATTTAAGACAGGAAAAAAACTTTTCATGTTTCCCTGAAGAACAATGAATGATCAGTGTACGTGTGTGTGGGTGTGTGTGTGAGTATTTTACTACTGATGATGATGATGATCTAAAACTATTA